ATCAGTGGCTATACCACCAAGTAAAAGCAGTGTTACAGTTACATTGATTTCCATGTAATTGAGTTCAAGTCTGAAGCCTTCGAAGAACCCGTTCAGGGCGTGTTTTGAAGTACAATAGGAGATGGCAGCAGGCATGCAGAATAAACCTGTATATACAAATAATACAATGTTCATAATGACATATACACAGACGATCATCATACATGTTAGTTCTACATTCATGCATCGTCATATTTTAACACCATTGTTCCTAATATGTATATATCTATTAACTCGGCGGTATCCACTCACATAAAACATTGAACAAAACGCGTCATACTGAATTTGTAAAAGTTAGTGTTTCGTAATAGATGGTGGTTGAAATTAGCGATAGTAAATTATGATGGAAACGATCTATGATTATAATAAACTACGTGCATGAATTGTTAGAACATGCAAGGTAAAACACCCAATTATTACGTATAAACGCGTATAACATTTCACAGAAAACACGATTGCAATCGTTGTTACATTTTCGATTGCGTCATCAATAACAAACTTGAAGTGTATAGTTTGCATCATATTTGGCAACTGATATTTGCAACTTCCAACCATTTGAAAATGTAAACTATAATGTTTGCTCAAACTTTGTGTTATTTACTATTCACCTTTATTTGTTTACATTAAGTGTCAGCCATGATACAAGTTGAAAGATGAACAGGACATTATACAAATGCCCCCCTCCCCAACAAAGATGGACGTACAGTTTTAGGGACCCGAATACTTCATTTTCAACCAGGGCGAGGCCATGGACCTGAATATTTGTATTATTATTGTGACACTCAATCATGGAAATCTATACAAGTTGAAATAGTTCAAGAGCAATGATGGACGCCTAATTACTATCATGGTAAAACTAGTTTTATCAGATCAGATCAAAGATGGTCGACTGGCATCCATCTTGTTTTTTGAAAAATGTGGTTTTTTCGACAGGATTTGTCGGTTTTTGTTCAAATTTAATACAAACATGTCCATATTGATTTGAGTTTGAATCCAAAATGACCAACTGGCAGCTATCTTGTTTTTCAGTTTTGATACAATAATAGCAATGCCACCATACCAACAAAAGTTTTCCCTGGCTTAGGGTGAATACATCCCAGTGAAGAAAATTACAATCATACTATAAAACCTACACTAAAAAGATAAAAAGTATAAC